GGAGATACGAGTTGATGTTCTACAACTCCTTCCTTCTTCATTACGGGGCTGAGGCTGCTCAGAATTACACTTTCATCATTTGCTAAGACACTTCCCCCATGCCATGGACTCCTTGGTTTAAAACATACAGACAGGGGTGGGTCTCTCGCCCCGTTCCAACCGGTTCGGTTGGAACAAGGCTGGCGGCGTCCTCGTGCGTGCGCACATGCGTACTAGCGTCTGTGCGATGCTCCAGCTGCTCCTGGAGGATCGCCCAGGCGCTGGATGCGTCCTGCGCATGCATGGAAGCGCAGAATTCGGCAAAACCGGGTAAGGAGTGGGCGCGGGTGCGCACGGGCGCGCGGGGGGGGGAGCTTCGCCGTTCCCGGAAGTTACTTACTTCCGGGTTCGGCGACCAACCGGATCGCAGGGACCGCCGCGAACCGGTTGAAACCCACCCCTGCATACAGAGACAAATCTCAAAATTTTGGGGATTGGAAAGAGAGTTAAAAGATTTCTGGAGCTTGGGTTTCTTGAGAAGTTACCTAACTCCAAAGTTTGGCCAAACTTCTCGTGATCATGGCCCAAAGCTGCAGATAGCTGAATGGCCCATGCCTCTCATTTTCCCTGGTGTTCCCTGTGGTCCATTTGTGATCTTGTTCTTTGCAGTATGTATTTATTTACTCAGATGGCTGGAGAAACCTTTTCTGGAAATGAGCTCTTTTTCAAATGTTTGCTCGAAATTATGAAAACAGATGACCTCCGCTATAAACAAGGTAAACACACACACATACACACAAAGTGAACGGATGCTATAGTCAAAGTGGAAAGAATTTGACCTACTCTGGGACAGCTCTTTAATGCTTGCACCGCACCCGTAATCTCTTTGATCCAGCTTTTCATGTCTTCAGGACTGTAGGCCTATCAAAAAAGAAAAAAAAAGGAAAAGATACCATCCAGAGAGCACTGTGAAGTTAAATTCATGGACATTTTCTGATGAATCATTTCCCTTATTAAATCTGAAAAAGTCTGCTTCCCATTCATTTACACTTGCACCCATTAGGTTCTGCACTCGTGACAGAAGCAGAGGGGCACTTCCAGGTTGAAAGGATTAGCCGGTGACATCGCTGTTGTTCGGGAGACCCCCAGTTGGGGGACTCCATTCATTTCCCCAGCAGGAGCTGGAGTGAAGGATGGGAACTCAACTCCATCCCATGGCAGCACTTGGGTTTCAAATGTAGGTTTGCTAAACTCCATCCTAGTGTCCTAACCACCCTCCTGATCCATTACTGTATTTTTTGGAGTATAAACCCCGCCCTTTCATCAAAATGGCCATGCATAGCCTTTAGGAGGCTTCCTGGGGGCTGGGGAGGGCAAAAATAATAAAAAACAGGCTGATTTTTTGCTCGGTTTTGCCCCCCCTCCCAGCCCCCAGGAGTACTCTACAAGCCTCCTAAAGGCTATGCATGCCCCCTTTTTTTTTTGACAAAAAAATGGGCCGTTTTCGGGAGGTCTGCAGAGTGCAAAAACTTTCTTTTTTAATTTGCCTCTTCAAAATCTTGGTGCGTTTTATACTCCAAAAGATACGGTAGGTCTTCAACCCTGACCATTCTAAGACCTAACAATTCCACAGTTCAGATTTAATTTTTTTTAATAATCTTGAACGGTTGACTTCTCTTCAAATGTGGCATCTCTCAAGGAACCGAAAAGGTGGGTAGAAGTGAGGAAAGGCCGTTTCGAAACTTCCTCCTCAATTGTTCATGCCCTATATAAGTTCTGGCCACTATGAAAAGATCCACCAGAGGGCAGATTTGATATTTGAAACGAAATGTGATGCATGTATATAAAATCTCACTTAGCAAAAATGCAGATCTTGCTAGATTCTGATAAATACATTTTTTTTTAAAAGCAGAAGAGGTGGTTAATCTAACAGCCTACAAAGGAAAGCTCTCATTCTGCCCTCTGGATGAACTCTGTCTTGATTAATATCTGGAATGAAATATCCTGAAGTTTAAAGAAAAAAGCCTTTAAAATATATCCTTTGCAAGTCCTTTATGAAGCTAATACATCTGGTCGTAATTGCTTGGTGCTAATATTAATGGCTGTGCTAACATTAGGAAATGTCTTGTTTGGATTACTTCACTGTTTTCTTTTGATAGGGGCTGATATCGTGAAGATTGAACACTGAAGTGTATTATGCTGTATTGATTTACAGTACTGCATTTAGCTACAAGCACACACTACATTAAAATTAACCGGATCACTATAGTACTAGGACTGTAAGCCATGCAAGGTCAACAGAAAATCCCATGGGTGACTAATAACTGGCTGTTGTGCATTTCAATTGATTGCTTTAGTATCCAGAAAATAAATAAGTACCGTATTTTTCAGAGTATACGACGCACCACGATTTTGAAGAGGCAAATTTTTTTTTTAAAGTTTTTGCACTCGGCAGACCTTCCAAAAACAGCCCATTTTTCGTGAAAATGGGCTCATTTCCCCCCCCCCAAAAGGGCATGAATAGCTTTTAGGAGGCTTGTAGAGTGCTCCTGAGGGGGGCAAAAACAGGCAAAAAACGGCCCATTTTTTGTGAAACGGGCCTGTTCCCCCCGCCCCCCCCCCAAATGCCATGCATAGCCTTTAGGAGGCTTATAGAGTGCTCCTGGGAAGGGGACAAAATTGAGCAAAAAACAGCCCATTTTTGCTGATTTCTGCCCTCCCCAGTCCCCAGGAGCACTCTGAAAGCCTCCTAAAGGCTATGAACGGCCATTTTAGTGAAGGGGTTGGGGTTTTGGGAGGCAAAAAATGCTGTATTCAGTGTGTAAGATGCACCCAGATTTTCAGCCTCTTTTTTGAGGGAAAAAGATGCGTCTTGTACTCCGAAAAATACGGTATATACAAACTAGACTGGAAAAGAAAAGAAGAAGAAGAAAACCACAGCAGGATCACAACTAAAATATTCAGGGAAAGGAACTATTTTTGCTGTTCTGATTCTTCCTTTCCCAGCTGTTTCTCTCCAGATTTATAGAACCTTTCTTGAACTCCATTGGCTGAGAATTCTATGCTCAGGTTATAGATTAACCTGAGATTCTATACTCAGGTTAAAGGCATTTGCCGCAACCAGCAGAGACAAGATTAAGACATACTTGGAGCAGCCCGTCTTTCTTACCCTGGAAGCTACAACTGATTCGTTGGGCTACAGTCAACTGTCTCCAGAGGCCTCCCATGGACAGCGGAGAGGCTATCATCTTCATCTCAATTTCCTGGTTTTTCAGAAGGTTCTCTGGAGAGATATCTTAAGCCAGGAAAAGGGTACGTTGCTTGCTTAGCTAATTATGGGGCCCCTGGAAAAGGGGATGGAAAGCCACAGGACCACAGACAAAATTGAATCTTGCCCATCCCTATCTTAAAAAAAATGTGTCAAGTGAGTCTGGCAAATTGGAGTAAGATGATCCCTTACTGCAGGGGTGGTATTCACTTACTTTCCCTACTGGTTCGCAAATGGGAGTGCATGCGCCCCCGTCAACACATGCGCACGGCCTTCCGTGCATTCACCTTACTTGCGCACGCGGCTTGTGTGCATGGGCGCGGTTTGAATACATGCCTAAATAGGACAGCATAGAGCCAGGGTGCATGGGAGGGGGCTCACCCGCGATTTCCACTACTGGTTCGGGTGAACCAGTCTGAACCGGCTGAATACAACTTCTGCTCTGGTGCTCATCTAAGAGAAACATATGCCCAGAGAACAGGTCAGGTGGGGTCTCTATTATCTAACACTTTGTCAGGTGCCAGCAACCAGAACAGCTTTGGGAATGGGTCAGATTTTTTTAAATTGTTGATCACCAGCTTACAAGAATCTCTCTAGACCAGTGATGGCAAACGTTCTTCTGCTTGGGTGCCAAAAGGGTGCGTGCGTGCCCACACCCATAATGCAATGCCCTTCCTCTGCACATGCACACACACACCTCCGTGCATGCACGCAGGCCTCACTGAAGCCTCCAGAGTTCCGGTAAGCCCATTGGGATGTTTTTCAACCTCCTCAGGCTTCAGGAAACTTTCTGAAGTTCCATTAGGCCCGTTGGGCCCATTTTTACCATCCAGAGGCTCCAGAGGCTTTCCTGAAGCCTGGGGAGGGTGAAAACAGCCCTCTGGAAGGCCAAAAATCAGCTGGCCAGTGTGTGCATGCACGCTGGAGCTGACATAGAGCAGGCTGTGCCACAAATTCACCATCATGGCTCTAGACCAGTGTTTCTCAACCTTGGAGACTTGAAGTCCTGTGGTCTTCAACTCCCAGAATCCCCCAGCCAGCTGTGCTGGCTGGGGGATTCTGGGAGTTGAAGTCCACAGGACTTCAAGTCTCCAAGGTTGAGAAACACTGGCTAGACTGTGCAGACTCTCCAAACTTGGGAAGGCCAGATAGAACCTAAAGGTTTGACCTCAAACATTTCTTTCCCCAAAGGTCTAAGCTGAAATGTCTTTTAACTCTCCCTATCAGGGCTTCCTCTCCTTCAGTTGATGGCTCCACCATATACGTTTAATCCAGGGATGTCCAAATTTGGCACGTTTAAGACTTGTGAACATCAAATCCACGGCTGGCTGAGGAATTCTGGGATTTGAAGTCCACAAGTCTTAAAGTTGCCAAGTTTGGAGAGCCCTGCGTTAATCAAAATGAAGTCAAGGCTCGTGTAGCTGAAGATCACAGGGATATATACTAGTCCAAATGCATCCTCCCATGGTCTTCCTCAAACAGATGGGAGCCACGCTCTCTTGCACAACTGCTCACACAGTTGCTTACCCAGTAAACAAAACACAGCCAACTGTAACTCCTGGTCAGGTGCAAAAAATAACCCAAACCCCAGCAATCTGCATTGCAAACGTCATTCTTAAAATCATCTGCACTTACTCGATTGATTATGCTCTTCCCTTCCAAATCATTCACATAAAAGAATTCGCATTTGGATGAGTACATCTATCGGTATCCTGCACAGTTTTCCCTCCATGGAATTTGAGTCATTGGGTCATTGCAAAGTTTGTTGATCTCCACCTGGATTCACTACTATTTAAAGTCTTCAAAGTTGGCAACTTTAAGACTTGTGGACTTCAACTCCCAGAATGAGAATTCTGGGAGTTGAAGTTCGCAAGTCTTAAAGCTGCCAACTTTGAGGTCCCCTGATTTAAAGCACCCACCAAGAGTGCAATGAAAGAAAGTAATCAAGGAGGACATTTTTAGTGCTCTTTGAGAAAAAATAGGTAAAGGTTTCTGTGATCTCTTCAAGCTACATGTTTTGTGTGATTATAAGTCTACATATCAAAAGAAAAGGACCAGAGGTCTTCCAATAGCAGTCTTCCAATATTTAGGGGGCTGCCACAATGAAGAGAGGGCCAACCTATTCTCCAAAGCATCTGAAGGCAGGAGAAGAAGTAATGGACGGAAACGTATCAAAGACAAATCGAACCGAGAAAGTTTGCCTTCAGAAGTTGTGGGTGCTTCATCACTGGAGGTTTTTAAGAAGAGGCTGGGCAGCCACTTGTCTGAAATGGGAAAGGTCTCCTGATTGAGCAGGGGGCTGGACTAGAAGATCTCCAAGGTCCCTTCCAGCTCTGTTATTCTATGTTCTAAATGGGCCACAGAACAAATCAGCTCAGAGGTGTCACTCAAGACACAAATGACCAGCTTGAATTTAGGACATATTTTGGACGTATCATGAGAAGGCCTATCTCAGTGATGGCGAAGCTTTTTGGCACCGAATGCTGAAAAGGGAGCATGCGGGGGGGTGGATCAGGAAGAGGAGCTGCCCATGGGGCATGCATGCACCAAAAAATTAACTTCCTGTTTCCGGCGCACACATGCACACCGGCAAGCGGTTACTGCTTGCCTGAGCATGTACCGATCAGCTAATCGCCGCATGAGCATACACGCC